TCTTTCCAGCATCATCTTTAGTTTCTTTTACTTGGATTTGAATCTGTATTTTGGGGTTTTGAATTTAGAATTCCTATTTAACTTGTATATAGAATAACTTGTATATAGAGTAATATCTCTTTTTTTTGTGGTTCTACCTTCATCTAAGGCTCTCCAGGCAGTTTAATCTTTCCAAATGTCACCTTAATCCACAAGGAGCTCCACTGAAATTAGCATGCCTATGGGCAGAATGAAATGCCACTGAATATAGGGACAAGCTATGGAAGAGTTGAAGTAACTGTTACAACACCTTACTTTTGTCAGAATGAATGGCTATATTAAAAAGGTTTCCTTCCATTTATAACATTTCCATGTGTTTCAAAAGCATGTCAAACTACAGCAACCCGGTCAAATGCTGATGTATCTTGTAATTATAAAGTAAAAATAAAAATCACTCTCTGCAGTTAAGTGCAACAGTTGTAGTCATTATGCTTTATGCATAAATAGATAAACAAAATACAGAGAGAGAAACATTTTCAAGAGTTCCTGACTGTCTATGAACACCAGCCTTTGGCTGTCCATCAGAGATCCACAAGCCCCCAGATGTAAAGAGATGTAGACAGGCTCACAGAAAAAGAGTTAACTATCATGAGGTAAGCACCTGTATTGCCTCTGAAGACATGGGCTTTGGGACATCATATCTCAAAGGAAGCTGGGGTTCATGGGGTTCATACCATTAACAACCACAGTTATTGCTTACAACAAAAGCTTATAAAGCTATATTAAAAAAAATAAAAAAAATAAAAAGCTTATAACATTCTAGATCTAGAAGGCAACCAAAATCAGGGAGCATTGAGTTTATTACGAAGTGATGAAGCAACATTACAGACCAGGGCAAGGATGGAGAGCCTATGGAGCTGGTATGGCACATATTTCTTTCAGCCTGTGATCACTAGTTTGGAATTATTTCTGACAACACTACAATATGCTCCTGTCTAGCACTCAAAATGTGCTTGAAGACCATGCAACCGTCAGCAGAGAAAGCCTGAGACACAGGAAAATATTTAAATACAATATTTAAATACAGTGGAATCAAGGAATATACACCCATGGATTTCTTTGGATCTAGATCAAACCCTGAATACACAGCAAAATGACAAGTAGCAGGACTTTGGGCTCCTTGTCTTGTCCTGATAGAATAGCAGACTTCTACCATCCCAGACCATGTACACTATTATAAATACAAGGAATGAGCATTTATATCGTAGTTATTTTTAAATGGTTGTAATAGCACTCATTTTCCAGAGATGGAAAAAACTTCTGGCTATACAAGAATTCACCTCTATATATTCCATTCCAAGGAATATAAGGAAAGGAACACGGTATTGAATATACATTTGGACTCTTGCAAAGTACTGAATTCAGGACAAAATATCATCTAAAAGAGAGTAATTCCTGCTGCTGAGGATGCTGCCTCATTCTAGCGAGTGCAATTCACCACGTAAGGAAGTATATTTTTGATGATCCTAAATCAAGCTTCCAGTAAGGAAGATTTTAAAATATTCTTATGTTGTAACAAAATGTTCCCGCTGGTGGTATAATGAAAGAAAGCAAAAAAAAATCTCCTGGCAGGAAATTAATTATTGAGCATTCCACTGCTTGATGATGTGCTCCTACGTTCTGTGCAGGCTTTCCATTTTTCTCTCTCAGTATGTGCAGAAATTCACTATGGAGAACATACAAATAGAACAAAGAGCAAAAGAATATTAGTTTATTAAACGCATTTAGAGACCAAAGAGAACTGGAGTGAGGAACTTGGTTTGTGTGTCACCACACCTGGTGCTCACTCCCTCTTATGTTTACCTCTTCTCCTCTCCATCAGATTGCCACTTTTGCTTCTGTTCCCTGAAAATACCTCTGTTGAAAATGGAAGAGATACTCCTGGATTTAGCATTGCTCACTTAAAACAGGTTAGAACCACTACTTCCTTCATTAAATTAAACAAATAAATAAATAATAATAAAGAATTGAAAATCTCAGTTCTTGATGCTAATTGGTAATAAAAGCTTATCAACATAAGCCCATATCTAAATAATCAGCTGTAACTCCATTTTCAAAAACATCTGTTTGTTTTTTTCCTCTATGTCCAGTCACTTTAGAAGATTTCACTACTGTCAATTTGGGTCTTCCTGAGAAACATCTGAAAAAAGTATGCTTATTATAATTTCACCAATTTGTTTTATACCAAAATATATAGGTTCTGGGGCTACTTCTGCACCCAGCACATGTACCTTGAACAGTACCTGACCTGAGTGGGATCACACTACTGCAAAAGCACCCCCATGAGAGCAGGCATTTCCCAGTAACTGGCATCCTGGATCCTTCAGCGGTGTTTTGTGGAGCTACCACATGGAGAAGGAACATGCGACAGACTGAAACCACATATGCCTTCTTCAAATAGCATTTTAAGCCAGCAGTGCACTACAGCTTAGCTAAGAAATGCTGGAGAACTTTTCAAGATAAATTAATACTTTCAGCTTTTAAAAAAGGAGGCAGAAAGAGTATGGAAAGCTGCTACAGCAGATGGTTGCATGATGCCTGCAGGAGCTTGAATACCAGGTAGGCTGCTGAGGAGCTGGTGATACCCTTCCTCACGGTCATCACCACTGTCTCCTTGGGCTCTTCCATCAGCTGCTGGACAGGATGGCTCAGACACAGCAGGACAGTAATGCCTCCATCTGTCTTCCAGACCTGACAGGACTCCCGTTTGACTAGCTGCCTGCATCAGCAGAAGACAGTCAGTCTCCACCTCTACATGCAGGAATGCCAGTGTTTTCATGTGTTGTTCATAATTGCAAATACCTAGCTGCTGCCTACTGAACTCTCTTTACAACACACTCTCTGTGCACCGCAGATACCTCTTGGGTCCCCAGAGACTAGGATATACTTTCACATGTTCAACATTCTCCATTGAAGGGACACATTTTGGAATAAGACAAACCACTGACTTTCTAACACCTACTCTGGTCTTGCAAGGGCGAGTGCAGTACTGCAGGAGCTGTGGCAGCAGATAGGGACCCGGCCACCTGAGCTCCTTCGTGTGGCCCAGAGCAGCAGGGCCCTGCAGGGGCTCTGCCAGGACTGCTGGAAACTGCATCAGCCCCAGCTACTTCTCATCCTAGAGTCCTGACTTTCTGGCACATCAGACCTGTTATTGATTCTGCAACCGATAGACAATGATACCAGAGATGATTCAGATTGTATTCTTTTGGGAGGATGCATTTTGAGTTATAAAGCAGGAGCAAGTTTAATTACTATGTATGAACATAAAGCATATGCTGCCATTTTGCAAGAAAGCATACTGAAGAAAAGCATCATGCTTTGCCACTGAGCTCCTGTGTGACAAAAATCACACTCTCCCAAGTATCAGACTTACCATCTGTAAAATGCTTTCCATTTCTAGAAGATAACGTGAGGGTTCTGTGTTACAAATCATATATGCTGTAAGTGGAAGATATTATCACTTGTTTTGGAGCAGCATCTTAGAACAATTGCCTTTTCTCTCCTGTTAGAGCCCACACCAAGCATAAAACTTCTTAAAATCTTACTTAGTAGCGCAAGCAAGGTGACAACTGCTAGATCTCTAAAAACTCCTCTTGTATGGCAAGGAGACAGGAGTTCTTTTCATGAACACAATGTTATTCAAAGGAATTCGCCCTGTAGGATGACATTCTCCTACAGGACTATAGGAATTTTAGAGAAGGCCGTGTGCGTCCATAAAAATGTATTTTAAGTTCCAGAGAGGGAAAGGAGTTTAACTTCTTATATAAACAATTGAGAGGGAAAGTGAAAAACATGTTGTTGTTATTGTTTAAGAAAATATTTATTTTCTATTCCTTCTCACAAAAGGGCATGAATTAAGGATTAAACCTATTTTAATCAGTAGGGCTTTGAGCAACAAGAGATCAGATGCAGGCCATCCATGCTAACACACAGAAACAAAAGAGACAGGGACGAGTCCGAAATGTAGAATTACATTGCAATGAAAGACTGGCAAAACCCATGGGGAGTTCAACCTGGAATTGCCTGCCCTGGCCAATCAGAATCTGGATTTCAGAGGTTATAAAGATGCAAGTCAAAATGTTGAAGAATGACCCCATCCACTGTTAAATAATGAGCTGAAAGAATGGCTAATTTGGGTCTCCTTTCTGATAAATTATACATGTTCTACCATCAAACCCAACCAAAAACTAATTTCCAGCAACTGCACGGTCTCTGTCAGCAGAACGAGCTTTAACACCATTATGCAGAAACAGAGAGATAATGACCTATAATTCAAGTCTATTATTTTTATGGGACGTGAAGATGCATCGCAGCATATTGCAAGCCGTTGATTAAGATTGGTATGCAGCATTAAACAAATTGCTCTGCCTTGCCTATAAACCAAGGATGCTTTTGATTCTTTCATCCGCTCGTGCTGCCCTTGCCCATCACGAAGAGTTTGCTGGCGAGGGGCAGCGATAACTTGGAGGAACTGAAGCACGGGCACCCAACTGCACTCAAACCTGGAGATTTGCATCCCGCCCGCCGGCAAAGCCCGTGGCAGAGCCTCCCGTGGATGATTTTCCCCAAATCCCTGCCCGTGTTTACTCAACAGCAGCCGCTCGGGAGGTGCACTGGGTGGGCGCTGGGCTGGCCAGCAGCCTCCCTCCCTCCCTCCCTCCCTCCCCGCTGCTCGGCACCGCGAGCTGAGCATCTCCAGCCCGCGGCATCCCCGCATCCCGCCCGCTCCGAGCTGCGGGGGCGAGAGGCCGGAGCCCCGGTACGGGGCGAGCCCGGCACCTCCCCGACGGCAGCTCCGACGGGGCCGGGCTCGGGAAGCACCCCCGGACCCCCTGCGCTGGGCTCCGGGGAAACTTTGCCCCCCTGCTGGCCCCGGGAGAGAAGAAAGGGAGAGGAAAGGAGAAGCAGGGGAAGGGGAGAGGGGAGGCGTGGGAGGGGTTTTGGGGGGGGGTGTTTACCTTGGAGGTTCTGCACTCGGATGTCGCTGATGTGCCCGATCAGCTCCTCGCGCTGGAACCAGTCCCACTCCTGCCCGGCCATGGGGCCGCGGGGGCGGCCCGCTCCGTGCCGCTCCGTGCCGTGCCGTGCCGGGAGGGGGGTGTGCCGGGACCCGGCGGCACGGCCACCGCCACCGCCACCGGCAGCGGCACCGTCGGCGGGCGCGGAGCGGAGCGCGGAGCGGAGCGGAGGGGGGGGGAGGCGGCCGCTCTCCGCTCCCCGCCCCGCCCCGCGGCCCTCCCTCCCCCTGCCCTGCCTCCCTGCCTCCCTCCCGGCCTCCTTCCTGGCCTCCCTCCCTGCCTCCCGCCTCCACCGGCCGGGCGGAGCGGAGCGGGGCAGGGTGCGGGGCCGTGCCCGCCGCCCCCGTCCTGCGCCCCCTCACCGGGAGCCGCCCCCGGCCCGGCCGCCCCCTCAGCCGCCCCCGGCCCGTCCCGTCCCTCGGTGCCCTCGCAGCCCCTGCCCCGTGTGGGCGCCCCAAAGCGATCCGCCGCTCCCCACAGCCGCTGGTGGGGCTGAATTAAACGCCGCTGTAAACGGAGAGCCCTTCCAGGCTGCCTTCGTGCTCCCTCAGCCTGCTTTCAGCTGCCTACGCGGGCTGTCGGATTTCCTTTGAGGCTGTTCGCCCATCGGATGCTTCCCTTCACACCGCCCTTCACCTCAGCCGCGCGGTGCTTGTCAGCATCGCCACGGCCTGTCCCTAACACACAGGGCACTTTGTTACAGCCATTGGAGGTCGGTGCGGGTTTTGTTTGCTTCTCCAACCGTGAGGGCTGTATAATGTAAACAGGGAGAAATTGACACAATCCAGTCAGACTCGTCCAGTATCACTAGTTAGACTACCAAAACACTCCGGCTGAGATCTGCAGAGTTAACTATAAACAAACGAGGAGCCAGAGATTGTGGCTCTTTCAAGTGGGGAGCGTTTGTGCGATCCCAAGGGAACGCCTGCACCTCACAACCCGCTGTGGCACTCAGCAGTGCGCTTCCCACAGCCTGCTCAGGTGATTTTCTCTGCTACACGTCAAACAAAATAAGGTGGAGATGGTGGAAACGTGACATCATCTGTAGAGTATCTAATACGTGAACTATTTATTGTCGCTCCAACAAGCACCGGTCGATTATCCCGCAGCCCAGCCCACAGGAGCCCAGGGCTGCCCTCAGCTTTATGACCAGTTTCATCTCAAGGCTCCAGACTTTTGCCCAGAAGTAAAGGCAGGTGAATTGCACACCATAGTACTTATAAGCCTGGATGTGCGGAACAGAACAAACAGTTGTGAAAAGGAAAACACATCTGAACTCCAGCAGACTTGCCCAAGTGGCAGTGCCAGGCTCTGACTTCACCTAGCGCTGGGAAGTCCTGGTTTTTCCCAGGCTTCTGCTGTTGACAGCCACCAACACCAGATGGGGATGGTGGAGGCTTCATCTCACCATGTGTGGGCATCCTGCAGGAGCTGGTGTTCCCCGAGCTCACCAGACAACTGCTCCCAGTCTCCGCTAGCCCTCATGAGACCTCTGCTTGCTCAGGGCAGTACGGGCAGCTGCAGCAACACAGCTGGGATAAGGCACAAGTAAATGGGTGAGGAGAAACAGAAAGCTCTGCAACCTTCAGCAGTGAAAGGTGCACACAGGGGTGCAGCAGAAGGAGCAAAGGTGAAGAGGAAGCAATAAAGCCAGTCCTCGCTGCCAGCCCTGCCCACTGTGTGATGTTACAGCTGATTCATTGCTTCCCGCACCTTATGCTGGGGCTGCCTTATCTGCTCCTGCCTTCAGCCTGTGCCCTGCCTGGTACGAGAGGTGCCCAGATCCATCGCCAGGGTGCCTGAGGGAGCAGCCCCAGTGCTCCTGACATCCCTGACATCTCCAGGCCTGCTGGGCAGCCAGGTTGGACCTGCACAGTCTGGGTCTCAGGGTCAGGCTGGGTTGAAGATGTAAATGATTAACAGTGTGGGCACAAGGAAGTTTAAAATCCCATTTAGGGGGAGGAGAAAGCATATTAAACCTTTTTTTTTTTTTTTTTTTTTTTTCTAACCTAGGAAAACATTTGTTCTGTGTACCCTTTTCCCCTAAAGGAGGAAAACCATCAAAATGTCAACAGACGATGAGGACCAGCAGGTAATGCTGCCTGGACCTCCTGCTCATCCTGGATGATGGGAAGTGAGAGCAGCCACATGGAGACAGCCCTTCTCCGGGGGGGTCGGGCAGGACCTCAGTCTTGGCCGGGGATCCACGCCCATCTGGGAGGTTGGCCTCTCTGCTTTCTAGCCCAGCACATCAACATAAGCTGCACCAGCCTCATCTTCCATGAGGACACTGGTCTGTGAGATGCTGTAAGTGAACACGGGCAGCAGAGTGTGCAGCAGGTGTGTGGCCTGAGTTTATCCAGCCTTTCAGCCAGCCCCTCAGCACCTTCCCCAAACCAGCTCTGTGGTGAGCAGAAACCCTCCTGGGTACAGCCTCCACTGCGATGGCTGTAACAAAGTGCAATATGTGCAGAACCACATGCTCCAAAATGAAAAACTTAAGCCCCTAAAATTGTAAGGACAGTAAAATTTGTGAGATGAAAAAAGCCATCTTTTATAATCATTTTTCTTTATGTTTTTATTGTATTCAAGTTCTTCCCTGCTACCATGTGGTCTATGAATCAGCTCTAGAAGTATGAAATCTGAGATTCTCACATAAAGCTAGATCTCCAAACGTTATGTTACTTGTCATAAAATCTGTAAATGCTTGTGGGAAATTATCTGTGAAAATACTATATGCCTACTAAGAAGTAACTGATTATATACAGTGAGGAGTAAAGAACTTCTCTTAAACTAAAAGTGATTTCAGATTTTGTTATTGAAGTTTGTTTGCCTTTTGATGTTTAAGGACAATTCTCTAACTGAAAAAGCAGGTTACATTTAATTAAGTCCCTTGGCTCAGACTCGTTACTCAGGGCAACACTATAAACACTTGGCAGAGACTGTAAGCTATAATAACAGGTTTATTAAAAAAAGATTTTGGTCACATACGAGAAGACAAGGAGTCTAATAGGAAGTTCATGGGGAACTTACCATTCTTCATCACCTTTATCTTTTCACTTTCTAGTGTATGAAGAATAAAGATATTGAAAAGCTTTGTTTGCCATCTGCATTTGTTTCCTTTGCATATCTTACCTGTGAGTGATTTAATGAGTTGAGTACTCAGTTTGAGAAGAAAACTTATACTTGAAGATTGTCTGATAGTAGAAAAATAAATAATAATAATAAAAAACAATGGACCACACAAATCCTACAGCTAGGTTTTGTGCCTGTCCAGATCAAGGGTGCTTTGTGGCTCCTGCTAAAACATCAAGGAAAGGTGTCTGCCACAAAGGAAACTATACATGTAGATATATTTATGACATTGTAACTACATTGCTTTGGTTTACAAACAGAGTTCCCCATATGTACAATCATTCTAGGCACAGATTATTTTCTGTCTTTGTTTAAACCAGTTCCAGAGCAATGAAAACCAGAAAAAAATGACGTCTCTCTTGCAATAGGTACATCCACGCAAGGGCACTGTGAATATTCACCCCATACCTCACAGGAGTGTAACTTCCTATACAGGCATGCTGCTGGCTATCCCTGACTGCTCTGGTCAAAGAGCTACAAAAATATCTCCACAGCAAACCTTTCTAGACCTCTCTCCATCCACACTCCCAAAATGTCCCTGTTGCATTCTGTAGGGCTGCTCAAGACAAATACAGTGTTTCTGGAAAGGTCTCGGACATTTGGGTCTTGACCCTACACTACCAGCACAGCCCTCAAGTCTTCCCACACTTTCAGCTCCTCAATGGGGCTATAGAGAAGGTGAGCATCTCACTCAATTTTTAATACATGTAGGGTTGGTTTTTTTTGAAGTCTTCCTGGAGGAGTAAAAACAGAGGTTTTCTTACTTTACAGCTGAATGAGGAAAAGAGAGGAAGGTTGAAATCTGTAACCTTCAACTAAAAGCAATCCAAATTATCATTTAACTCTCACATTTTACAGTTACAGTACAACCTGACCTGGATGGTGACTCCATTTCGAGGCAATAAGTATGCCACCACAGGTCTCATCAACACTTCATTTTTCTTGTTTACCCCATATCTGAAACACCAAGGAGTGCCAACCATGAGAAAAGATTCATTAACTGTGCCAGATGAATAGCTAAGCGAAGATTTTGCTTTTATTACCCTGTCCGACAGCAGCCACCCTCCAGTCTGGCTCCTCCACCCACACACATGTAAACACTGGGAGGGGTACCATGTGAAGCTGACTTTCAAAGCAAAATGCAAGAAAAGTCAGGAGGAAAAAGAGAGTCTAGTTCAACAAAGTAAGCAGGAGACACTCAAGAAAAGGTGCAAAAGGAATGAGAGAAACTGTATTAAGAGGATTAAGCAATTGGAAGAAGCGAGGTAATGGAAAAAAAAAAGTATAAAATATAAGTAGTCTATGAGTTTTTCTTTGAAGGCAAGGAAGACCAGTAAAATGTGTATTCTACTTCTCCAACAAAGTTCAGTAACAAGCAATTAATTCATTTTTACAATTAATATAATCAATTAAATGACTCTCAGCTTTAAAAGCAGTGTGCTGTGCCTCACTAAACTAGTCCCAATCCTGATCCCTTTCAGCTGCTATCAGATGAAGAGGTGTGGTGCCTAATGGCCCTGCCTCCGTGTACTGCTGAGAGTATGAACAAACTCTGTTGAGCAGCCTCTCTTCTGCTCTGTTGTTTCTCTTCATTCCTCGACTCCTAGAAACCCTTAGGCCATCGACTGCCACAACTTAATGGCAAGAAATAGACTGCAGGATTTGCTAAAAGGTCTCGGTTTGCTATAAATAGTTTTTGCCATACACCACTAACTTGGATAGGTTGAGCTGGATTCGTATTATTTGCTTGGTGAAATTTGTATGTACCAACCTAGCAGCAAAATGCACTTTCCAGTGAGCAGTAGTATGTTCAAAACTGTGTCTTTCGGGGTGATGGTGTCCCACCAAGAAAAACTTCTGCATGAGAGTCATGTAAGTGAAGTCCTTGAGATTCTGCACCAGTGCAGGTGCTGTGGTGGAAGCAGGGTTGTGTGGGTCACTCCCTGTCCTTCCTCTGTTCTTGTTTTGTTGGGGTTTGTTTGTTTTCCTTTGGTGAGTGGTTTATTTTAATGTGTGATTTACTGAGAACTTGCATGCTTTATTTGTTAGAGTCAGTAGGATAGTCCCTTCCCTGGCCTGCAGGCTGGCTTTC